CTCGGATACTCGCAGGTTATGACCGCTGCCCAACGCTTCTAAGAAAAGCGCTCGCATTTTGAAATTCAACGGGGAGGATGGGAACTAAAGTTCCCCTCGAATTTGCGGATCACTAGAAATCACTCGCAACCCAACATAAGACCAAAAAACCCAACTCAATCTTGCGCCTCTGAAAAAATCTTCATTCACCGGCACTATTTGCCCTTTATTGCCCCTCTCCGGAATCGTGGCTTTGCTGCTCTTCCGAATCGTCGACTTGACGGAAATTTTGTTCAATGGTAGATCTGTCCAGAACTTAGCCCTCAAAGGTACTCTGTACCCTGAAGATGAGCATGACATCCACCTAAAACGTAACGCTTAGCATCAGTACCAGGGGTACTACGCCAGCATCACAGACCGGTTTTCGTGCCGGTGCCAGAACCACAGGGCCAAAACGGGACTGTACCGAGCGTTCGTCTGTCAATCAAATGCAGTGTTCGGGTTCAGGTGAGTGGAGGGGGGGGGGGATGGAAGGAAGATGGTAATAGAGGTTACTAGCATATTCCGTGCTTCAAGGATGTCTCGTAGCCGGCGTCAAAAATCTGGAAGCAAATTTGGAAGCAAGCGTCAAGTAATTTCGCGTCAGGTGAATGTGTCTTCGTAATTAAGGAGTTACGCTACCCCAAAGAAAAATCCCAGAGCAACTTGACCCTCGAAGAGAGTTTCAATCCCAGTCCGGCCTATGTTCCAGAGTGCGCCAGTCAAAAGTCGGCAACATCATTGCGTTTACGACTGAGGTACTGAATATATCCAACTAGAGTCACCTCAGACACCAGCGTAACTTCTGCGAAGTCAGCCAGCGTTCATACTTTAGTGCGACTCGAGTGGACTGATGCGGCCAACACCGACAAACCGCCAAGGGTTGAACCGATATCATTGCGCGACTGAGTTGAGTCGCGAAGTATTACCGTCCTCGGAGGATTATGATCTTCTGAACTCACACAATGAAAACTGTCCACGTAGGTCCCGTGGAGTCTCGTCGAGACGCCATTCGTGCAATTTTCTTCTGTTTAATTCTGCCCAAAAAGTCGCATCAATGAATGTACAAAATGGCACGAATGATGAGTGCGACATGGTGGACACTCCGTCTAGAACATTTCAAAATAACTTACACCATGAGATTCTATTTTACTATCACGTTGTGAAATGTGTACCATGGAAACGTGACCAACGCTATTACTAGTGCACAAAACATTTTATGGTAGGAAAATTTATCTCTTGAAACGCTTCCGAAGAAAAAAAATAGATTACGGTACGGAAACCGGACGATAGAAGAAAAGCATGCGGAACGAAACACAAAAGACATAATTGGGATTGGAGACATTGAACAGGTTCTTTTTTACAAAACGTCCAAGCATAGCGACGGTCACATCGCGTACTTCTGAGTCCATTCACGTGCCAACTGATTGTACCTGGAAACAAAGTTTTGAGTACGGGGCAACATGCAAATTTTTAACAGTTCCACTAGTGTACGTTCATACTTCGCGTCAGCGTTTTGGATCGATACCTAAGCTTCCTAGTCGACCAAAGTCAGGCAAAGTATGGACGCATTTCTACTTAGATATGGATAATGACGACTTAAGCGGATACCGCATAGGAAAATCCGGCACTATTCAACTATTATTACCCCAAAAATTAAAAAAAAACTTTTTTGTGAACCTCTGCCCATAAGGGTATTTGATGTCTTGAGCATCAGTATGACAATCATGTTTGACGCGATTTGGCGCCACTAGGCGCCGATTTGGCGCTAAATCCTTTTTTTTCAACAAAACCGATAAAACTTGCATAATAGGGTTGTCTGATGCACTGATTACGAATGGAAATGGCTTTAATTTTTCGACCCCAGCGCCATTGAGCGCTCTGCTGAGGCCGAGCCAGGGAAGAGTGATTCCTTTCAGACCTGGCTTCGCCCCTAGCAGATGATCGTAGTGTCCTCCACTAGCGCCAGCGCCAAGAATGAATTTCATATTCGTAATCGGGATG